TGTTGTTGTAATAATAATAATAATATTATTATATATATTATTATATATATATATATATATATATATAGTGTGGAGTTAGGCATGTTGACCAGTATTCATGTACATATATGTGTGTGCATATATTTGTGTGCATATATAAAAATACTAACTTTGTATATATGTATATGTATGCGTATGCCTATACTCGGACTATGACATTTAACGCCACGTGTAATTTCTGGGAGATTATTTCCCCTTGTACTGGTAGGCAATGCTATTGTGCTTTGCGCTTACCGGCAAAAAGTATATCTGAGAGTTTTTAGTACATCAAAGAATATATGCTCATTAGCACGAAAATGATCCTGCATTTCGAACACATTTCTAACAAAGAAGCTTGCAAGACTCTATAAACAAGTTTTGAGAACACTGACAAACATCACACGACCCACAGAAACATACCAGCGCCCAGTAGGCCAACTGCCTTCACCCATCGGTCTCCCATGATTTACACTATTGGGGATTTATACTACCAGGATATAAACACTGAGCTATGAAGTATGATCGACTACACTATAGTCTAAATACTAGTAGAAGAGTGATATAAGAATACCCCCGCTTGTAGCAATTATTAGAAGAATTGAATAGAGATTTTATGTAATAAAAATGTGTCGATTTTCTCGTCACTCACCAGTCACGACACACTATACACCACACAGTGGAACGCGAACACTTTCTTCATACCAACCCGAGGGAAATTTTACCTCTCTCTGTAGTAGTAGCCTCAGTTACTTTCTCGTTAAGACGTTTATTGTAAACGTTTATGCTGTATTATCACAATCTGCATTTAACTTGAGCGAAATTTTCGAGTGAGCAGCAGTGTATCCTTATAAACTTCTTCACACACGTTTACTGCATCACATGAACATAGAGGAATCAGGCTCACAAAAGGGGGAACAAATAAGGAAGGAGAGTACGTCATTACTTTTGTTTTGTAATTTGTATTTTTGGTTTTTGTTTTTTGTATTTTTGGTTTTTGGGGGGGGGGTTTTTTTTTTTTAAACATACGAAACCAAAGCAAAAGCAAAGCAAACAAAGAAAATCATGGCCCTCTGGATTTGAGTCTGCGCTAAATTTACGATGTCGTCGGAAGAAACCTGATTTCTGCTCGAGACCCAAATCCAGAGGGCCATAAGAAAATTATAAATTTAAAACTTGTCAATGAAGTCCTCATACATAGCCTGATTAGCCTCCTAAAAAAGAGATTTTTAAGTGGTCTCGTACAGTCGTACGTCTGCACAAGATCATTACGTTTTACGCTATGACGTACACAAATGAATTAATTTGACGTTTACCCCATTTTTACGTCAGAACGTTTTCTTATTTAGCCGTTGTATGTTTATATTCAACGTATACGCTGTATACCAGAACGTAATGCGGTTTGTCAGTGAGTCAAGTGACAAGGGTCAGACTCAGGGGGGTCATTAAAAAGGCTCATTATCGAATTCACATCCAAATTCCGATAAACCCCTAATCCGTACATAGTGTCGAAAAAAAATAAAAACACAACACGGGCGACAGATATTGTAAATATTACAAGTATTAAAGCTATTAAATTTCATTAGAGCACTATAATATAATATATATATATATATACCCTACTTATAATATATATATA